ACATATGCAAACCGCACTCATGTCACGAAACTGCAGAGTTTACGCATTGCAACATATGCAAACCGCACTCATGTCGCTAAACTGCAGTGTACGAGTCGCACAAGCAAGCAAAACCATGTACTGAACCAGTCACTCCAGCTTGGTCGGACACTGCAAAGTCTGACGAAAAGTCGGACGAGTGCCCCCTGCTCATTCGACTCAGATTTACCTACCCTTCGAAACAGGGGTGGACACACACAAGCCCTCCCGGGCTCATTGCTCTTTCGAACTTACTGACAGGAAGCACTCACGTACATAGCACATGCATGACGATGCAATCACTTGCACAGCACTTGCATGACAATGCGCACTCACTTGTCCAGATCGCCACCAGACCACCAGAAACCAAAGCTCCACCACCAGCAGCTCCAATGCTCCACCGGGCCACCAGAAACCACAGCTCGTTCCACCAGCTTCGCTTCTGTTCAAACAAAACGCTACAAGCAAGCGATGCAGTAAGGCAGAGAGATGCGCACTCCGAAAGCATGTAGGCATGCACTCACTCACCAAGGAAGAAAAACGTTTTCAAGCTTGCACTAGCACGACACTTGCGATGCAGTAAAGCAGCGAGATGCGCACTCCGAACGCATGTAGGCATGCACGCATTGACCACAGAAGAAAAACGTTTGCCAAACTTACACTTGCACAATACTTGCACGACGACACGCACTCACTTGCACTGCTCTTGCCGATCGCAGAGTCACTGACCAAGGTAACACCTGGTGCCAAAGCTGAACGAAGTCTCAGACTGCAGCACTTGCAAACTGATCAGCAACTACCAAAAGTACAGCTCATGTACTCAACTTGCAGCCGAAGACCTGCGACAAGTCAGCGGTGAAGTCAGATTCGGGAAAGTCAATCAGATCATAGAAAGTCAGTGGGAAAGTCAGCATTCAGGTTTCGGCAAAGGCATTTGGGAAAGACTCACTGAGAAAGTCAGCTTGCAAGCACGGATATAGAATCAGGGAAAGTCATCCAATGCGTATACAGTCAATCGGGAAAGTCAGCGCCAGAGCTACCTCTGGGAGACACGGCGCCCATAGGGAATGCCGTTGTGAAGCACACTTGACACATCGTGTCGCAGGTCTGATCTGTCGGTGCATACTGTCAGGGAAAGTCAGCAGCTGTCAGGGAAAGTCAGAAGCTGCAAGGGAAAGTCAGAACATGCAATCAGAAGCTCGTACGAATCTTGCTCTAGGGTTACTGATTTGCAGGTACGTTTGCACCCCTCCCTGGGGGTGTCTTCGTTGGCCGGTGACCCCAGGGAGAGCACCGGCCCCCTGCTCATTCGACTCAGATTTACCTACCCTTCGAAACAGGGGTGGACACACACACACACACACACACACACACACACACACACACACACACACACACACACACACACACACACACACACACACACACATTTCAACCCATGGGACATCTGAATATGTTGCGATCTGCTTCCGATGCTGGGGACCACGATCGTCAACAAGCTGCTCCACCTGAGCCTGAGCCCCGAACAGTAAACCCATTAAAATCAACCCTTAACACTTTAAGCCCTAAGACATAAACCCTTTGACCCTAAACCCCTAGATACTAAACCCTGCCTGTAGCCAAAAAGACCTACCATTTTAAGGAACTATATATAGAAACCATAAACAGGAACCCTAAGAAGGCAGGTCTTTTCGGCTACCGCTGAACCCTTAACCCTAAAGCCCGAGACCCTAAACCCTAAACCCTAGATACTAAACCCTGAACCCTAAACCCTGAAGCCCTAAATTTGGGAACCCTAAACCCTGAACCCTTCACCCTAAAGCCCTGAATGTGGGAGCCGAGGAGCTGTCTTGCGACTGACATGCCAACAGCTTCTGCACGCGCTGGATGCCTCGGAAGGAGTTGAGATTTAGGAATTCTCTGGGTTTTACGGGGTTTAGGGTTTTGGGCTTCATGGGTTTTACAGGGGTGTAGGGTTTAGGGATACTGGGTCGAGCTTCGGTTGGGGTTGCTGGGCCAAGGCGACAAGCCACAGGACTTTCCCGTGTCGCAAAGTAGGGGCTTTGATAATTAGGACAAGCTTTTGGGGGGGGTTCGTATTTTATTATATACCCCCAAACCCTATTCTAATTGTTAAGGCCCCTACATTATAGAACCCTATTATAGATCCCTTATAGAACCCTTCACAGGAACCCGTTAAAAGGAACCCTATTCTAATTGTGAAGGCCCCTACATTACCCCCGAGCCGTAACCTATCTCACTTGGAGGGTCGGGGGACTTAGGTAGTAAGTAGACTTATAAGTACCCTAAAAGGGACCCTGATTGCGGTTATACTTATAAGTCTTTAGAATAACCAGTTACTGAGTCCCCCGACCCTCCTAGCATGGCATCCAAGAGGCCCACGTAGGTATCCAGGAGCGTCGCGATCTGATTGGGCACGGACCTAATATAATCATATAGGGACCCTAACACTTAGAATATGGTTTGGGGGTTAAAGGGGTGTTTAAGGGTTACTATAAGGGATCTACAAGGGTACTGTAATATAGGGACCCTAATTGTTAGAATAAGGTTGGGGGGCCCATTCTACTGTAAGAACCCCCAACATAGTATTGGTAATTATTATGGCCCCTGTATTAAGTCAACAAAAACAAATTCAACCTCAGCACTCAGAAGAGATTCGCAGGCCCACCCTTGTTGCTGAAGGACGCCGGATTTTAAGGAATAAAGCTTAAATCATAATATGAAGCCCCTTCTAATTTAAGGGTCCATTGCTTAATTCAGGGGTATTGGCCGAGTGGCATCATGGAGTCCTTCAGCAACTTGTTCCAGGACAGCACCTCCCAGCAACCCCCAAGCTGGCTGCGGGGGCACAGGCTGCCAGCTTTCCAGGGGGAAAAGGAGGGACCCTTTAAAAGGACCCCTTGGCTTTTTACCCTTCATATAGCTATTATATACCCATTCTATAGCCTACTATAGGGTAGGGGTCCCCATTAAGTCATTAAGGGTCCCTCCTTTTCCCCTTTGAAGCTTGCTTGCTCCAACACGCAGAGCTCTAGGCAATAGTTGGCAATCCGGTAACATGAGGAAATCTTGGAATTCAAGCGCCTGCGACATGCGGGCGCAGGCGGGGGAGTGCATACGCGTATACGTGAGCTCTACATGCATGTGCATCCATATGTACACATGTATGTGTGTGTACAGACACATGTAGAGTTGCGAGTTTGTGTACACCAATTTCTGTTTATGTATCCACTTTATTACGTATTCATGTATTACTTCTTATCTATTTGTTTAAGTCGGGTAGTTAGTCTGTTCAGCATCGATTTTACGCATCTGTGCATTTATCTTTTTGTCAAGGCGTAAACGGGATGTTGGCCCTAAACCCGAAGCCCTAGACCCTAAATCTTCAACCCTGAACCCTAAACCCTAAATCTTCAACCCGAAACCGCCTAAACCCTAAACCCTAAATCTTCAACCCTAAACCCTAAACCCCGAAGCTTCAACCCTAAACCCTAAACCCTAAATCTTCAACCCTAAACCCTAAACCCCGAAGCTTCAACCCTAAACCCTAAACCCTAAATCTTCAACCCTAAACCCTAAACCCTAAATCTTCAACCCTAAACCCTAAACCCCGAAGCTTCAACCCTAAACCCTAAACCCTAAATCTTCAACCCTAAACCCTAAATCTTCAACCCTAAACCCTAAACCCTAAATCTTCAACCCTAAACCCTAAACCCTAAATCTTCAACCCTAAACCCTAAACCCCGAAGCTTCAACCCTAAACCCTAAACCCTAAATCTTCAACCCTAAACCCTAAACCCTAAATCTTCAACCCTAAAGGCCCTAAACCCCTAAATCTTCAACCCTAGAGGCCCTAAACCCCGAAGCTTCAACCCTAAAGGCCCTAAACCCCTAAATCTTCAACCCCAAAGGCCCTAAACCCCTAAAGCTTCAACCCTAAAGGCCCTAAAAATTAAGCCCTGAAGCCCAAACCCTGGCGCCGTAAAAGCGATGGCCGCATCTACCGGCCGGTCGAGAACCAGCTCCAGCCAGACCTCCAGGGCTCCAGGGGTTCCGTTAAGGGATCTTTTCGGGGGGGGGATCCTTGGTCTCTTTTTTTTTTTTAAGTTGAGTTGACTTTTACGTCTGCCGACAGTCGGCTCTCAACTAACTCCACATTCCCCCTATCTCATCTAGGGCTTGGGGTATTTAGGGTTTAGGGTTTAGGGTTCAGGCTTTGAGGTTTAAGGTTTCGGGGGATCCTTCTAGGGATCTGCGGGGGCTCCTTTAAGGGATCCTGTAAGGGAGCTACAGGGGTTTCTTCAAGGGTTCCTTTAAGGGATCTATCGGGTCTTTCAAAACTGTTTTGAGGGCTCCGAGCTTAGGATTATGGTTCCTACAACGGCTGTAGCAATTATTATGATTTAAGGGCTCCTTTAAAGGTTCTTGTATGGGCTCCTATAATACTTTTGTTAAGGCGCCTATAGCACGGGCTCCTACAAGGTTTCCCAAAAAGTGTCCCATAAGTATGCCTTTGGTTCTATCCAGGGTTTCTAGAATAAGGGCCTTTACTGTCTTAAAGTCTAGCGGCATCTGCGCGGGCCTCTACGGGAAGCCCCCGATGGGCAGGCCTTGAGAAGAGGAACCCTAAACTCTAAACCCTAAACCCATGAATTTATATTAAATGAACCCCAAGCCCTAAACAGTAAACTCCTTGGGGCCTATCAACGATAGCTCAAGAATTTACATGAACCCCACGCCCTAAACCCTAAACAGTATAAACACTTTGAAGCCTATAAACGATAGCTCAGCGTGAAAGAAAAACCTTAGGATTCCTCTAGATCCCTTGAAGGAGGCCTGATAGATCCCGTCAAGGGCCCTAAACCCTAAATCTCAAGGGTTCCTACCCTTATAGCTCCTTCTAAGGGACCTTGAGCAGTTGCGGAATAGGTTTTAGTGCCATGAACAGAACCCCTAAAGCTTTAGGCCATGGCTTCTTGCCGAGATACGAAGGCGGCGATGGTCCCAAAGAGGCTCACGGTGCTACCCAGGAAGTTGTTGAAGGGAAAAACCTTCGAAGGCTCGGTGGTTTGAGGAAATGCAAGGGGGTTCCGGGTTTGGGGCTTTGGGTTTGGGTTTAGGGTTTAGGAAGTTGTTGAAGGGAAAAGCCTGGGTCCTTGTCAAGGAATTTCTTGAAAATTACCATGATAGGGATATATAACGGTTCCTTTAAGGGTACAGGGTTTAAGGTTTAAGCTACCATAATACGGATCTGAAGTAAACAGTATGCTTGACAAGAACCATGAAACCTTCCCAGGCTCAGAGGTTGTGGAGGTTGGTGGCCGAAACAGCAGAATCCAGATCAAGGATCTTCCTGAACCCTTACACCACGAAAATAACTCCCGAGCACAAGCATCCCTAAGTCAAAGAAAAACCCTCAACTCTTGCGCGTCACCGTGGGCTGGTCCCCCCTGACCTGCCCACACAAGCCCTGAGCCCTTTAGCTCAAAAAAAATCCAAAATCCTGAATCCAACAAACTCCTAAAGGAACCCTTACGTTTGACTCTAGAGAACTCTTCAAAAGACTACTAAATTTACTAAACCACCCACAAAACCATACCCCATCGAAGCCTTACGGAAGCCTCGTTCCAGCCCCTGCGCCCTGCATAGAAGCCCTTGAAAGGAACCCAGAAAAGGAACCCTCACAAGCCCTGAAAGGCACCCATCTTTTTGCATCTCCTAATCAGCAGCCTGCCTCTTCTCATCGAAACACGTATAGAACCCCATAACCCGTAGGACCCTTTATTAAGGAACCCCAAACCCCAAACTTACCCTTAATATCGGAACCTTAAACCCTAAAACCCCAACACCCTAAAGCCCTAAACCCTATACCCTTCACAGGAACCCCTAAAAAGAACACCCCCCCTTCAGGGGCCCTGCCTTCCGCTTCCCCCATTGCGCCGAGAGCTCCGCCTCCCGAGCTTCTTCGAGCATCTCCAAAGCCATGGCCCTCGGTGTTTAGGATTTAGGGGTTTAAGGGTTTGGCGGTTTGGTGGTTTAGGGGTTTAGGGGTTTAGGGGTTTGGGGTTTAGGGGTTTAGGGGTTTAGGGGTTTAGGGGTTTAGGGGTTTAGGGTTTAAGGGTTTGGGGTTGGGGGTTAGGGGTTTAGGGTCTCGGTTGGGCTTCTTCCTTTTCATTATGATAAGAAGACTAAGACTAGAAAGCAATAATAAGAGTAGCCATAATCGTAATAATACTACTAATGATACTGGTGATAAGAAGAAGAAGAAGAAGAACAACCATCGAAACAATAAGAACAGCAGCAACATTAGTGATAAATAACGAGAACAAACGCAATAACAACAACAATACTTAGAATGCTGATGATACTAATGGTTCGATGTTGGACGGACAGGTTAGGCTTAAGCGGCTGCCCTTGGAACCTGTCGATTAATCCCTTGGAAATCAATTATAATGAATATAGAACCAACGTCTAAGAACGCGAAAGTAGCTCAGCAGGGCATTTTACGGCTTGGGGTTTCGAGTGTATGATCCTTTCGGCGTTACACGGATGAGGATCTGTTTGCTTGACTGCTGCGCGTTCAAAAAGCTCCTCTCTTTGTGTGGGCCCACTTTTCAGCGCTACTTCACTTCTCCTACCAAAGTTCTCCGAGCCAAGACCTAACATGCCGCAAGAAAATCCCAACGCCCAACCCTAAACCCTAGACCCTATCCATGCGGACCAGCCACTCCAACCTGAAGCACTTCACCACGCGCATGGCTGAGAGAAACCTCAGTGCCAGGAAACCCTGCAAAACTCCATCTAGGAACACCCTATAAATATCATATAGCCCTACAGACTACCTAGACCCTCCATCTACCCTCCATTAGACCCGAAATGCCCATTATTTGGGGCCATATACCCCTGTTTGAAGGTACAAGGAGGGTCCTGGTACAGCAACTTTGCGGATGAGGCGCTGGTTGCAGAGTCGGCCCCGAACATCGCGGCACCTGCAGATGTCAAGGTACAGCATGCTAGTCTTATAATAGTACTATACTATAATAATACTACACTATAATAATACTACTGTACCAAAATAATACGTAATACTATACGCTTTAAGTTTGGGGCTTTGAGGGTTTAGGGCTCAGGGCGTGTAGGCGTGTAGGATTGAAAGTTTATGGTTAGTGTCCTGCAGCTAGCAATACGGTCATAGAGCGCTGAATAAGGGCGTATTACAGGGGTCTGAATGTACATAGAATGAGTATATGCCCCTCTTATAAGGGAGGCTGTTTAAAAAGTGAGCTTCCAGGGGGGGCGGGAAGATCTTGATATGGGCGTGACGACCCCTTGGCAAAACGGGGGCGGGGAGGCGGGAAAAAATGCCATGCATTGTCCGCTGAGAGACGGTACCCCACATGTCTCGCCCCTCTTATAGGCCCTGTAGTATACCCCCAAACCCTATTTAGTTCAAGTCTCTACAGCTCGGGGATCTGGTAGCGAGCCTTCATTGAAAGCAGAGCTTCGGAGCGAAACCTGTGACCCGACTCCTCAGCTCGACCCACTCTGAACCCTCAGCCCTAAACCCGATCGAAACCTGACCCCAAAGCCCTAAAGCCTAAACCCTAAACCCCCGAAACCTTACCCCTAAACCACAAAAGCCATAAAAGCCTTAACCCTGAGCCCTAAAGCCTGAAACCCAAACCCGAAACACAAAGTCCTAAACCCAAAAACCGAAAGCCTAAACCCTCAACACGAACTCCGAAGTGGAGCCTGGCTCAGTTTCAAGATAAGGGGAACCTGAAAAAGACCCAACGTAATAGGGTCCTGAGTAGATAAAGTTTAGGTTTAGGGTATTTGGGGTACCCTGATAAAGGCCCAACGCGGGTGTCGATTTCAACAGTTCCCAACAGTGTTTGTAACTAGGGCTCTATATTGAACATTACAAGGGGAAGCCAAAAGTTATCCCCAAATCGATATATAGCAACATAGTAGGGTCTTGATTAAATATCGAGATGGAACCCTTTCAGAGACAGCCCTAAGCCCCAAGGACAAGCAGAACTACTATGGGGGGCCTAAATTATTACCTGTACTATTTTTGGGGGGTTCCTTACTATGATTATAGCAAAACCTAGGCACTCTTGGATCTTCTGGGAGTAGCGCTTGATCCGGTGGCTCAACACCTCGGCTCTTTGCGATACCCCACTTCGAACCATTAAAAGAGTACTATGCTTAATGTCGTCTTGGGTTTTATATGGGTGGTTGTCAAAATTAGGGTCACTTTTGGGGTCCCGAATATAGTACGACACCTAACATTTAGGGTACCCAAAACGGAACCTTAATTTTGACAACTACCCAAATTCAACAAAGATGGAAAATAATTCCTAAGGAGACTCTGCCTTGAGGGTGGGTTACAGCCGGTGGGCCATGGGTTTCGGATCTAGGGATCATGGAGGGGTTGGGGTATGCCAGTGAGGAAGTTGAAGATTGGGCCTCAGAAATAAATTTGAAGCACAGTCGCTTTTCGAGCCTGGGAGCGCTAAAAGGTTTGGGTTTTCAAGGTTGAAGGGTCTAGAGTTTTCGGGGTTACGAGGTGCAGGGCTTTGGGGTTTAGTGGGTGTTGAAGGGACTCTAAGGCTTTGGGGGTCCAGTATGCAACTCATGCGTCTCGAAAGCTCCCACGAAACGTAAGCAGTTGCAAGAAAGGAGACAAATGTCTGACATGTTCCGGAACCCATGACTCGAAGATTTGAACCCTGTTAATCCCCTCCCCCGTTTATTAAAGGACCCCCTAATTATAAAAACACTTTTCCCCCGATCCACCCGGAAGTAGCACCGCCCTTTAAACCCTAATTTGAATTAAGGGGAAGGTTTAGGGTCTATAGATTGAGGGTTTAGAGGGGAGAATTATAATTGCATGAGTCAGCAACTGCTCAATTGAGCCGCATGAAAAGTTTTATTAGCCAAGCCTTTATTGAAGCCTATTTTTTTAATGCGTATTTACGGATTTAGTGTGTATTTGCACGGATTTGTGTGTTTGCACGGATTTAGTGTGTATTTGCACGGATTCAGTTTGTATTTGCACGGATTTAGTATGTATTTGCACGGATTCACGGATTTAGATGTATTTGCACGGATTCCGTGTGTATTTGCACGGATTTGGTGTGTATTTGCACTCACGTCCTGTGTAGTTGCACGAATTTAGTGTGTATTTGCATGGATTTGCACGGATCGTGAGTATTTGCACGCAGTATTTGGTGTCTAGTTACAGGGATGTAGTGTGTGTATTTGCACAGATTCCGTGTGTATTTGCACGCATTTACTGTGTGCCTGGTGTGTAGGTAGAGGGATTTAGTGTGTGTGTCTTTACACGGATTTAGTGTGTGTTTGCATGGATTCGGCGTGTATTTGCACGGATTCAGTGTGTATTTGCATGGATTTGGAGTGTATTTGCACGCATTTCGTGTGTATTAGCACGAACTTGGTGTGCATGTGCACGAACTTCGTATGTCTTTGCACGGTTTAATGTGCATTTGCACGGATTTGGTGTGATTTGCAACCCTTATAATAGCGTTTCTTAAGTCTCCAGAGAGCCCAGAGCTTCAGGTCACCCCAAAATCTCGATTCCGGGTGGGGAAAGGGCCCAAATGACACCCCCGGGGATTGAGCCCGCAGCCTTTGTGAGGAGGGCTATGGAGGCAGACGTTTACCCATTAGGCCATGGCCAGATAGTTCTGGGGGCTGGCGGCTGCCTCCCTAGGGGATTTGAACACGGTCGCAGGCCCAATTCTGGCGGTGTCCCCGTGGGCCCTTTCCCCATCCAGAATCGAAATTTGAAATGACCAAAAACCGCCAAGAGCACAACCAAACCCGCCGAAAACCGCGCAAACCCACCAAAACCCTCCCCGGTGCAAGTTCCCAACATCAACAGCAGGTTGCAGAGGTTGAAGCAGCAGGTTGCAGAGGTTGAACCACAGCAGGTTGCAGAGGTTGAACCAGCAGGTTGCAGAGGTTGAACCAGCAGGTTGCAGAGGTCGAAGCTGCAGGTTGCAGAGGTTGAAGCAACAGGTTGCAGAGGTTGAACCAGCAGGTTGCAGAGAGGTTGAACCAGCAGGTTGCAGAGGTTGAACCAGCAGGTTGCAGAGATTGAAGCAGCAGGTTGCAGAGGTTGAAGCAGCAGGTTGCAGAGGTTGAACCACAGCAGGTTGCAGAGGTTGAAACAGCAGGTTGCAGAGGTTGAACCAGCAGGTTGCAGAGGCAGAGGTTGAACCAGCAGGTTGCAGAGGTTGAAGCAGCAGGTTGCAGAGGTTGAAGCAGTAGGTTGCACATTGAACCAGCAGGTTGCACAGGTTGAACCAGCAGGTTGCAGAGGTTGAACCAGCAGGTTGCAGAGGTTGAACCTGGAGGTTGCAGAGGTTGAACCAGCAGGTTGCAGAGGTTGAAGCAGCAGGTTGCAGAGGTTGAGCCAGCAGGTTGCAGAGGTTGAACCAGCAGGTTGCAGAGGTTGAAGCAGCAGGTTGCAGAGGTTGAAGCAGCAGGTTGCAGAGGTTGGACCACAGCAGGTTGCACAGGTTGAACCAGCAGGTTGCAGAGGTTGAACCAGCAGGTTGCAGAGGCAGAGGTTGAAGCAGCAGGTTGCACAGGTTGAACCTGCAGGTTGCAGAGGTTGAACCTGCAGGTTGCAGAGTTTGAAGCAGCAGGTTGCAGAGGTTGAACCTGCAGGTTGCAGAGGTTGAAGCTGCAGGTTGCAGAGGTTGAAGCAGCAGGTTGCACAGGTTGAACCAGCAGGTTGCACAGGTTGAACCAGCAGGTTGCAGAGGTTGAACCAGCAGGTTGCAGAGGTTGAACCTGCAGGTTGCAACGGTTGAACCTGCATGTTCCACGCAAGAATTGGGCCTGCGACCTCTCCCAAAACTACTAGCAAGGTGCGCAACCTTTTGCAAAACTATCTGGCAATGGCCTAATGGGTAAGTGTCCGGCTCTAATGCCTTCTTGGCAAAATTCGTAGGCTCAATCCCCGGGGGCGTCATTTAGGCCCTTTCCCCACCCGGAATCGAGATTTTGGGGTGGCCTGAAGCTTTGGGCTGTCCGGGGACTCTCTAGAGCGGACTGGGTGCACATCCGGCTTTCGTGGGGCAGGTTGCAGAGGTTGAACCAGCAGGTTGCAGAGGTTGAACCAGCAGGTTGCAGAGGTTGAAGCAGCAGGTTGCAGAGGTTGAAGCAGCAGGTTGCACAGGTTGAACCAGCAGGTTGCACAGGTTGAACCAGCAGGTTGCAGAGGTTGAAGCAGCAGGTTGCAGAGGTTGAAGCAGCAGGTTGCAGAGGTTGAACCACAGCAGGTTGCACAGGTTGAACCAGCAGGTTGCAGAGGTTGAACCAGCAGGTTGCAGAGGCAGAGGTTGAAGCAGCAGGTTGCACAGGTTGAACCTGCAGATTGCAGAGGTTGAACCTGCAGGTTGCAGAGGTTGAAGCAGCAGGTTGCAGAGGTTGAACCTGCAGGTTGCAGGGTTGAACCAGCAGGTTGCAGAGGTTGAACCACAGCAAGTTGCAGAGGTTTAACCAGCAGGTTGCAGAGGTTGAACCAGCAATTTGCAGAGGTTGAACCAGCAGGTTGAACCTGCAGGTTGCAGGTTGCAGAGGTTGAAGCCAGCAGGTTGCAGAGGTTGAACCTGCAGGTTGCAGAGGTTGAAGCTGCAGGTTGCAGAGGTTGAAGCAGCAGGTTGCAGAGGTTGAAGTTGCACAGGTTGAAGCAGCATGAAGCAGCAGGTTGCAGAGGTTGAACCAGCAGGTTGCACAGGTTGAACCAGCAGGTTGCACAGGTTGAACCTGCAGGTTGCAGAGGTTGAAGCAGCAGGTTGCAGAGGTTGAACCTGCAGGTTGCAGAGGTTGAAGCTGCAGGTTGCAGAGGTTGAAGCAGCAGGTTGCAGAGGTTGAACCAGCAGGTTGCACAGGTTGAACCAGCAGGTTGCAGAGGTTGATCCACAGCAAGTTGCAGAGGTTTAACCAGCAGGTTGCAGAGGTTGAACCAGCAATTTGCAGAGGTTGAACCAGCAGGTTGAACCTGCAGGTTGCAGAGGTTGAAGCAGCAGGTTGCAGAGGTTGAACCAGCAGGTTGCACAGGTTGAACCAGCAGGTTGCACAGGTTGAACCAGCAGGTTGCAGAGGTTGAACCAGCAGGTTGCAGAGGTTGAAGCAGCAGGTTGCAGAGGTTGAACCAGCATGTTCCAGAGGTTTGGTGGGCTTGCGCGGTTTTGGGCGGGTGTGGTTGTGCTCTCTTGGCGCTTTTGGTCATTTCAACATTTCGATTCTGGATGGGGAAAGGGCCCAAAATGACACCGCAAGAATTGGGCCTGCGACCTCTCCCAAAACTACTATCAAGGTGCGCAACCTTGCCAAAATATCTGGCCATGGCCTAATGGGTAAGTGTCCGGCTCCAAAGCCTTCTTGACAAAGGTCGTGGGCTCAATCCCCAGGGGCGCCGTTTGGGCCCTTTCCCCACCCGGAATCGAGATTTTGGGGTGGCCTGAAGCTTTGGGCTCTCTGGGGACTCTCTAGAGGGGACTGGGTGCACAGGGCAGGTTGCAGAGGTTGAACCAGCAGGTTGCAGAGGTTGAGCCAGCAGGTTGCAGAGGTTGAAGCAGCAGGTTGCAGAGGTTGAAGCAGCAGGTTGCAGAGGTTGAGCCAGCAGGTTGCAGAGGCTGAACCAGCAGGTTGCAGAGGTTGAAGCAGCAGGTTGCAGAGGTTGAAGCAGCAGGTTGCAGAGGTTGCAGAGGTTGAAGCAGGTTGCAGAGGTTGAAGCAGCAGGTTGCAGAGGTTGAACCTGCAGGTTGCCACATGTGCTCTTCTGCACTTGTGCAACCATGAAGCATTGCTATCATCAACAACAACATCATCATCATGTTCTTCATCATCATCATGTTCTTCTCCTGGACCATGATCATCGTCATCATTACCATCACCACCACTACCGCCATCTTCATCATAACAAGCATCACCGTAATCGTCATCATCATTTTCATCGTCATCATTTTCATCATTTAATTACTTGTAGAACCTGTGTTTCTAGGAATTGAGATAACAACACCCCCCTAATTATAAAAACATTTTCGAGTTTTTATTTAGGGCGAAGGGGGGGGGGGGCCCCGACCCTTTAATATTAGGGGGAGGGGATTACTGTAGGTGTTTGAGAGTCTTGAGATGTCAGGGCTTGGGATTTCGGGGTTTGAGGTGCGGGAGTTTGGGGGCTGAATTCGGAGTTCAGGGATTTTGGAGTCCAGGGTTTAGACGCCTTGGGCTTCGGGGTTTAGGGTTTAGGGTTTAGGGTTTAGGGTTCAGGGTTTAGGGTTTAGGGTTTAGGGTTTAGGGTTGAGCCACGGTGCCAACTGCAAAGGCGCGAAGGACGACACGACAAGCATGCCGATCAGCCTCGTTGTGGGTTTAGGTTTTAGGGTATACTTGGAGGATCATGGGACTTAGTAAGTAAGGTGATATGTACCTTAATTGGAGTTAGACTTTAGCTATAGTTATCTTATTTATAACCCTACCAACTAAGTCCCATGAGCCTCTAAGTAGCGTTTCGGGTTTGGGGATGTTTAGGTTTGGGACTGTGCCGATCCCGCATGCTCACCAGTCGGGACTTCGGGACTTGGCACTGGGGACGTTCGGATCCAACCCTTACCTTGGGTTAGTAGGGAATGGAGGGGTACAATTAGAACTACTGTTGCTACCATTCTTCCATTCCATACTAACCAAAGGTAAGAACCTGAGATGGCCAAGCGACCCGGCAGAACCGATGAGTGAGGTAAGGTGCCAGGCCACGACGATGACCTCGCACAAAGTAAAGCATGGTAAAGCAAGTGTTCGATGAAGCTTCGGCCTGTGTGATGTGGTGCAGCGTGTCGGGCACTAAACCCCCGCTGTTCCAAACCCGCCTTGCCGCTAGCCAGAGCACGCACACACCGAGATTGCCATGAAACAGAAGCCCTAAACACCCAAGACCTACAACTCTCAAGCCCTAAACCTGGTCTCAGGCCAGGATTGTTAATCACTCATCTCTGGTTGTCGAGCCATCAATGCATCAAAAGCTGCCAAAGCCCCAAAACCTATTCAAACATATTCAAACCCGAAACCCTAAGCTGTAGCCTTTCCTAGGTGGGGCTTTTAGAGCCTTTGAAAAATATTAGTAAATAAGATCCTCTTAAGCCCAATAAGGGAAAATATAAAATGTCCCAAAGCCCTACCTAGTTTCACCCTTCGCCGTACATTTCCAAAGGACTTCAGCAAGGCTGCCGTGATGGCAGCAATCACGATGGATGCGTGGCTCCAGTGAAAGAAGCCCTGCACCCTTGGCACGGGGTTAAAGGGTTTCGGGCTTGAGAGTTGGGGGTTTAGGGTTTAGGGCTTGAGAGTTGGGGGTTTAGGGTTTAGGGCTTAGGGTTTGAGAGTTTGGGGTTTGGGGTTTAGGGTTTAGGGTTTGAGAGTTTGGGTTTAGGGTTTAGGGTTCAGGGTTTAGGGTTTAGGGTTTAGGGTTTGGGGCGAAGGGCTTAGGTCCTAAAGGCTTTGGGCTTCGGGCTGAAGGGTTCTGGTGTGTTGGGTTTCCAGCCTGCCGAGTTTAGGGCCCGGCAAAGCTCGATCTCTTCGAGCGCCCCTGCTCCTGTAACTGACCCTGTACACTGCAAACCCTACCCTGCAAAACCCTAAACCCAAAGAAACACCCCAAAACCCAAAACCCTCCCCGAAACCCCGAAACCCCGAAACTGCATCGAGCAGCGGCTTGGAGCAGTCCGTCGAGAAGTGATTCCTTAGCTTCTAGACCCTAGTCCTTCAAACACTTGAAGCTAGCTTGAAAGACTGCATTCGGGTGAAAAACTTCACACCACTCCACAAGCAGCTGGTTTTGGCAACCAAGGAGAGCCCTGAACGCGAAACCCGAAGCCAACAGCACTCCAAAGGAAGGACACCCAGGCCAAGCCCTCAGCCCTAGACCCTTCAAAACGTATCTGTAAGACTTAAACCCTGAAAACAACCATCTGTAAGCCCTAAACCCTCAAAGCAACAACATCTCACACGTAGAGCGACTCTCTTCTTCAACAACCAGGCCCAAAAAAGTTCAAACTTTCTAAGATAGAGCTAATATATAACGCCAAAAAGTTTAAAGTTCCCCCGTTCACCGTCTAAGGCGAGGGTTCTGGAGGTCTCCGATGGTGTAGGCGCACCCATCGAGCCGCAGGTGGAGACCTGGAATCGTTCAACGGAAACGTCGCTGCCCAGATCTGACAAAATGCCAAGGAATACTCCTTAAACCAAATACAGTAGAAGCCAGAAAGTTGGAATATCATAGTCGTAACCCCTTTAAGGTAAATTATAGGGGATCCTACCATGAATCCATATTCCAACATTCTGGAGTTCCCTTTAAGGGATCCCATTCATGATTGACGACGTAAACTAGATTCCTGAATCAAGGGATGTTGGAAGATGTGGATGAGGGTTTACGATTTAGGGTTGATGGCCAGGTTTCATACTATTGGCAGCCCTAAACCCCAAACCTTGCACCCTCAACCCTACGACCCGAAGTCCTCTAAACCCGAAATCCCGCAAGCCCGAAATCCCCTCCACCCTAAACCCTCAACGCAGGGACCTGAACCGGTCGTTGTGCTTGAGCCAAGCGACTCTTGCGGTAGGTTAGGTGGCAGAGGAGGACCTCCACCGGAAGCATAATTGCTTGAAGAGTTCTATGTTCATACCGCTTGATAAGAACTTCTGGGATATCGTAGAGATTGTGAGGCTGGGTGTTTTGGGGTTCAGGTTTTGAGCTTTCGGGTTCTGATAGGGGAGGCTCCTTGAAGTAATATAGGGGCCTTAACATTTCGAATAGGGCTTGGGGGGTATATTATACTAGAGTTACAGTAAGGAACCCGCAAAACCCGATGTTAATGATTAAGGTCCCTGTATTCATCAGAATCCTGCTGTTCCGGGTTTCTATTCAGCAAGCGAGATGTTCGTCGTTGAAGCTCCCGGATACGAATGAGATCACAGGCAAAGTGACATTGCTGGGAGGTCGAACGTTGTGTCCACGATCCGTAGACGAGGGCTTCGGGTTCCCAGAGCCTCCCAAGCCCCTTAACTAAGGAATATACCGGTAATGAATATGAGGGATCCTATTCCTTAAGTCAATATGAGGGCTCCTATCATGATTTAAGGGTATATTCCTTAAGTCAACATGAGGGCTCCTATTATGATTTAAGGGTATATTCCTTAAGTTAATATGAGGGATCCTATTATGATTTAAGGGTATATTCCTTAAGTCAACATGAGGGCTCCTATTATGATTTAAGGGTAAATTCCTTAAGTTAATATGAGGGATCCGATTATGATTTAAGGGAAAAATTTCCTTAAGTTAATATGAGGGATCCTGTAATGATTTATGGGCATATTCCGCAAGTTAATATGAGGGACCCTATTATGATTTAAGGGTATATTCCTTAATTAAGGGGTTTTGGATTCTTCAGGTTTCAGATGATCAAAAAGCTTGGTTCTCTCCGAAGGCAAGCGTTGCGGCGCGCGCGAGGCGCCAAGGGAACTACGGGCAGAAACTGCCTTAGGACCCCGGTTTAGGGTTTAGGGTAACTTAGTATAGTACACCCAAAAAGTTGGAAACCGGATTAAGGACAAATAGTGCTGGGAATCCCTATACACTATATACTCATAATTAAGGGTTGAGGCTATTGGGCTTCCAGCTTCTGGGCTTCTACTGTAGGCCCCTGCATCCTGAGTAAAGATGCGGGAAAACCACCACGAGGACCGTCTTCATTCTTCGGGGCGACTGCCTGCGCGCGCAGGTCGGCGCGCACAAAGATATTCCAGGCATACTCCGCGAAGATCCACATGCCCATCCTCGCAAAAGCTGATCGGCTTTGGGGACGGGGTCCTGGGTTCCTTTAAGGGATCCATACGGGTTCCTTTAAGGGTTTAGGGTTTACGGTTTAAGTTACCATAATACGATCTATAGTCAATACTTGTAATATGGTTTCCTGATTATGGTAACTAAAATTCAGTTCATCAACAAGAGCCCAACCAGGCAAAGGTTTGCACAACGGTGAGCAAACCACAGCTGGGCTGAAGCCTGCCCAGATTAAAACAACTCCAGACCAATCCACGATAGTCTACCACTATAGTCCTTTGAATAACCCTTCTCTTATCGTACCCTTAAGAAATCGTAACCTTATAGAACCTTTACCATAAGTCTTATGCGCTTATGGAACCCTTGAAGAAAACTTTGTAGCACCAGCTGTAACACCCTAAAACCCTTACAGAGATTCTTGTAACCCTGATAGTACAGTCAGCATTATGGTAACCCTTACCGAACCCTTATGGAAACCCCTTAAAGTCTCTTCTAGCAGCAGTATTTTGGAGCCCGAAACCCTTAAACCCCCAAACCCCGCAAATCCTTGAAGCCCAACCGCCCAACTGCCCTCTAATATACTCTAAAGGCCCACTATTAAGGACCATCAGAGCTCTCTTAAAGGGTTTTGGGAACCCCAACCCCCATTGTAAGTAACACTTCAAGGGCCATACTGTTGATGATATAAATCCTGCATTACCCATAATGAGGAATATACCATAATTCCCATAGTTTAGGGTCCTTAAGGTAATGCAGGATATATATCATCCACCGTATCGGTCTGAGCTGCACCGCTGCAGCGATACCCAAGGAGTGCCTCAGTCGGAGAGCGTCAGAAAGGCCAGGGGTCTCGTGGGCTGTCTGGGGTTTAGGGTTGAGGGATGAGGATAAAGGTTTTGGGGTTTATAAGTTATAAGGGGTTTAGGGTTTATAGGGTTTAGGGTTTATAGAGGGTTTAGGGTTTATTGGGGTTTAGGGTTTATAGGGGTTTAGGGTTTATTGGGTAGGGCTTCAAGGATTTAAGGGTCTAGGGGGTTTGGAGGTCTTAGATTTAGCCAAGACGCAAGGCTACTGATGTTTGCTGCTCCTTTCGCTGCTCCTGCGCTGGAGCGGCATGAAGGGATTGAGGGGTTATGGAAGGGCCTGACCAAGTAGAACATGGTCTGTAGCTTCTGATACAGTGACTACCATGTAATCGGATACCACCGTCAGTTATTCCGACCCCATTTTCGGTGCGATGCGACAGATCCCCAGGCAAGTCAGATCGGAGGGTGTCTGATGTGGGACAGGTGATTGATACGAGCAAAACAGGCCGTTGCCTCTGCATCCCGAATCTCAACCTCTATAACTGCACCGATGCACTTCGCTGGTTCTACACTCTCCAAGGCTCTATCATATATAATACATGATACAATACAGTATATACACAGTACATGTGTGTATATATATATATATATATATATGGTCACCCCCCCCCCAAGATCCACACCCTCTCTGTTCCTCTCTCTCACTCATAACCAAGCGTTTCGAACCTACCTTCTCCATGTGCAGAACGTGCTGTAAATACCAGCGGGAACGGCTTCTCTGTAGAACAGCTACTTTGCTCATAGCATGTCTACAAACTCTTGACATCGAACATTTTGCACACCAGGATCTGGTTCCGAAATCAATGGCTTAGTGGGAGGCAGACTGCCAACACCAAAATACCGCCAAGGAACCAAAGGCATGACATAACTTGTATTTTTGGAAAAGTTTGTTGATATACCACTACGCACAATAGTATGCTGTCACTATCAATCTGATTTTACAAGCATTAGTGTTGAAAAGTGCTGTGCAGTCCTTTTCATTTGGGCTTGGGAAAGCCAAATTTTAGGGACAGCACAGCACTTTTGAAGCTCAGGTGCCCTAAAGTGCTGTACTGTCCCTACAAGTTGGGTTTGGCAGAGGCCAAATTTAGGGACAGTACAGCACTTTTGAAGCTCCAGTGCCCCAAAGTGCTGTACTGTCCCTGAAATTTGGCTTTCCCAAGCGAAAAGTGCTGTACTGTCCTTAAAAAACCTAAAAAACCTATCCCCCAGCAACCTGCAGGCGTTCCCAGCCGATAGTCTCTGGAGGATAGGTTTTTTAGGTTTTTTAAGGACAGTGTACAGCACTGTTGAAACCCAGGTGCCCTAAAGTGCTGTACTGTCCCTAAAAGTTGGGTTTGGCAGAGGCCAAATTTAGGGACAGTACAACACTTTTGAAGCTCCAGTGCCCTAAAGTGCTGTACTGTCCCTAATATTTGGCTTTCCCAAGCCAAAAGTGCTGTACTGTCCCTAAAAAACCTAAAAAACCTATCTCCCAGCAACCTTCAAGCGTTCCCAGCCGATAGTCTCTGGAGGATAGGTTTTTTAAGTTTTTTAGGGACAGTACAGCACTTTTGGCTTGGGAAAGCCAAATTTTAGGGACAGTACAGCACTTTTGAAACCCAGGTGCCCTAAAGTGCTGTACTGTCCCTAAAAGTTGGGTTTGGCAGAGGCCAAATTTAGGGACAGTACAGCACTATTGAAGCTCCAGTGCCCTAAAGTGCTGTAGTGTCCCTAAAATTTGGGTTTGGAGAAGCAGAATTCAGGTACCATTCTACTCTAAGTTTCTTGCTGGAACCGTGAATGCTGCGGCAAAGATTGTTGGAGGTGGACGATCTAATTACTTTCAGTACGAACATGAGTCCGACGTCTCGGCAAACCATGTGGAGCAGGACTGATGCACGATTGCTTCGGGCCGATGTTTTGTGCGCGAGGAGTCGCTGGGTGCCGATTCACAGCTTACCGCTGGAGCATCGAAATCAAAATGGTGCCTGCGATGGCATTTGCAGAGGCAAGGCAGCTCCCCTAGCTATTGTTCCAAAGGAAGTCAAGCATGGTACCTGTGGCTTTCCACATGTTGCCATAGCGAAACCAGTAGGTGAACTGGGCTGAGCGAATCTTCCTTGTGAGGGCCTGGTTGCCTGGAGTGCGATCTGTGTGCTTCAAAAAGCTACGCAAATGTCCCAATAAGCGGTCGATTATCTGCGTGCCGCTTTTCACACTCAGAAAGTTGACGTTCGGCAGCTTCACCTTGTACACTTTCGTGTAGTGAGGCTTGATCATATGATAAGGTATTCCAGAGGCTCTAGGGTATTCAATAAGGCGTGAGGGTATTCTATATCAGTGCATTCCATATGAAAGGTTTCAAGATACATAGAGAAAGTATTCTACAGGACATCCTATAAGATATTCTATAGTGTCGTGTAGAGTGTCCTATAGGGTATGTGTAATATAATGCGTGCGGTGTCATATGTGTTCAAGGTACATATACTGTATACATGGACTGTCATATATAGGGCCATAGGGGCATTCTGTGAGGTCTTCTTTGGAGTATTCCAGACGGTCTTCCATGAGGAGTGCGATATATAGAGGGTACTATGTGTTCCATAAGGTATTCTGTAAGGTATTCTATGTCGTATTCTGTAAGGTACTTTGGATATTCAAAAGATATACGGGCCATGACTGAAAGTATCAGAAGCTCTAGGGTATTCAATAATGCATGAGGGTATTCTATATCAGTGCATTCCATATGAAAGGTTTCAAGATACATAGAGAATATATTCTACAGGACATCCTATAAGATATTCTATATAGTGTCTTGTATAGAGTGTCCTATAGGGTATGTGTAATAGAATGCGTGCGGGGTGTATCATATATAGGTGGTCTTGTATACGGTGTGCGACAGGATATTCAGATGGATTTGTACAAGATACAAAAGTTATGAGAGTGGAATTTTGCAAAGTGTTCTAAAATGTGATCTAAAGGGTACTATGTTGGTGAAATACAAGGTGTTGAGCCCTGAAAGTATCGATAGATTTCGTGTTCACGGACATTATCTATAATCTCGATGCGTCTCATATATATGGGAGGTGTAGAAATAGGGCCGTCTTTTCATATCGATACTTGTCGTGATACTATGTTATATGGGATGATATATTTTTGCTTTCCTGTTGCGTGTTACCTTCAGAGCCCATACTGCTGCATGCAAAAACCTATACACACACAGAACATGCATGCAAGCTTGCGTTCTTTTGCAACACGAGAAGAAGCCGTACGCGAATGTATGTCGCTTGGAAAACTCAAGGTGTATATGAAGGAAACGCAGAATGTAGGATCTGCGAAATCTTTGGTGCAGTCGCAGCGTATTTAGGCCAGTACCTGGGCAGGGCAGGCGTGGATCTTGGGGGGGGGGTGAGCATATATATCCATAAACTCAGACAAGCGCGAGCCGCTGCCTAACACGCACCAAACAGGCCCTTCCTAAAAGCTGCCCTACGCACCTCCGGCATGCTGAGGCTTTGCAACAGGCCGTGGAGCAGGATTGGCTGCCTTGTCAAAATGAGCCGCGTAGTACTGCCACCTAGCACTCACTACTGCTAGTGCTGCTTCGACGACGACCAGCCACCACCACTTCTACCACGCCGAGACGCTGCTCCTCAGAAGCCCAAAATTTCCGGCCCTGATCCCAAGACTCTTGCATGCATCGCCCGACCCACACCGAGCAAGCTTGCTTTACGGAGTTTTTGCAGAGGTTTAGCTGCTGTTAGGGTTTGGGGTTTAGGGCTTGGAATTAAGGAGAGGTCGCTTTCATAAAGACTTCAAGGGCACTGAAGAATTCAGAGACCCTTATTTAACTTTGATGAAACCCATCGAGTTGCAGGTAGGAGAAGACTTGCAACAGTGCCTGGCATGCGAAGCTCGGCTTTCTGGAGAACAGGGCACGGGAGCCCGGAGCTATGGTCAAAGATCTAGGGTGAAGGGTTATGGGTGAGGTTCCGGGAACTAATGGGGGTGAAAGGGGCTTGAGGCTTCGATTCAGCATTTAAGGTTCGGGGGTTAGGGCTTCGATTTCGGTTTCGGGTTGAGAATACAGATGCTCCAAAAATCGTAAACGCAGCACCAATGGTCTGCCCACAAGATGCAAAACAACCCCGCAGCTTGCACCCTAAGTCATGTAACCTCAGCTTCACCTGTCTGCCTTAAGATTTAGCTGGTGAGCTAGCGAGCATGGAAGCACAACTGGAGAGGCTTCCTCTGACCCGCCTTCTTGTTGTTGAGGGCGACATGAAGTCGCTAATTAGTTGCATGATCGTCCAGTGCATATGCTCTCATGTGCAAAAGTAAGACAACATGTTGACCTGAAGCTGGAAAACCTGGTTTAGACACAAGCGAAACTAGTTGCACACCAGCTGTGCGCGCAGACACCCAGGCCGTGCAGTTACTTTAACAGGTACGTTTGCACGGCATACTGGATGGGTCTTCGTTGGCCCAAGCCATCCAGCAGCCCTTGGGCCCCCTGCAGATAAAACAATTCTCGCTGAAAACATCATGCACAAAAAACATGTGGAGCAAAGTTTGTCGCATGTACAGCAGAATGACACAAACAAGCCCCAACTGGGGCAAGTCCTCAAAACAGTACACAACGGCCTGGAGGCTCAACACGGGACTGAGGCTCAACAACATCAAAGCAACACAACCACCTACACAGGCCCCAAGGCTCCAACAAGGGACTGAGTCTCAACAACAGAAGCAAACAAAGTGGAATGAATTAGGGTTTAGGGTTCTCATTCGTGGCAGAATACAACTTCGGCCATCGTTCATCCCAATCAATGTTGCGTCTCATGCAAGTCCATCCAAATAAATAAATAAATATCCACTTCACGCATCAACGTCTGCCTTAGCCATAGCCGAACCCTGCTGTAAGCTGCAAGTCCATCCAAATAAATAAATAAATAAACAAATAAATATCCTCATCACGCAATCGATCATTTTTGTAAGTCCAGGGAATCGGAATGTGTTCTTTGTAAATTGCAGCCTTCCTCGAGACTGCACTCCGGAATACAAGCCAAGCAAGAGCTGATCTGCATGTATCTGGTCTGCTGAAACAACACTTGAACGCGAGTCTCAAGCCAGAAAATGCCTAAACATGAAAACACATGCAGTCGTCAGTGATCTCCGGACGCCACTCCACTCTGATTTCCGAAAGTGTGATTTCCGCTCAGTGATCTCCACTTGAACATGTTGTGAGACGGAAATGATCTCCAGAACTGCTAACACAAGCACCCCGGTGGGCCGGCAACTTCGCCGAATAACGACAAGGCCCTCATGAGGGAGCTCTTGTCGAACACAACTGGAGAGGCTTCCTCTGACCCGCCTTCTTGTTGTTGAGGGCGACATGAAGTCGCTAATTAGTTGCATGATCGTCCAGTGCATATGCTCTCATGTGCAAAAGTAAGACAACATGTTGACCTGAAGCTGGAAAACCTGGTTTAGACACAAGCGAAACTAGTTGCACACCAGCTGTGCACGCAGACACCCAGGCCGTGCAGTTACTTTAACAGGTACGTTTGCACGGCATACTGGATGGGTCTTCGTTGGCCCAAGCCATCCAGCAGCCCTTGGGCCCCCTGCAGATATAACAATTCTCGCTGAAAACATCATGCACAAAAAACATGTGGAGCAAAGTTTGTCGCATGTACAGCAGAATGACACAAACAAGCCCCAACTGGGGCAAGTCCTCAAAACAGTACACAACGGCCTGGAGGCTCAACACGGGACTGAGGCTCAACAACATCAAAGCAACACAACCACCTACACAGGCCCCAAGGCTCCAACAAGGGACTGAGTCTCAACAACAGAAGCAAACAAAGTGGAATGAATTAGGGTTTAGGGTTCTCATTCGTGGCAGAATACAACTTCGGCCATCGTTCATCCCAATCAATGTTGCGTCTCATGCAAGTCCATCCAAATAAATAAATAAATATCCACTTCACGCATCAACGTCTGCCTTAGCCATAGCCGAACCCTGCTGTAAGCTGCAAGTCCATCCAAATAAATAAATAAATAAACAAATAAATATCCTCATCACGCAATCGATCATTTTTGTAAGTCCAGGGAATCGGAATGTGTTCTTTGTAAATTGCAGCCTTCCTCGAGACTGCACTCCGGAATACAAGCCAAGCAAGAGCTGATCTGCATGTATCTGGTCTGCTGAAACAACACTTGAACGCGAGTCTCAAGCCAGAAAATGCCTAAACATGAAAACACATGCAGTCGTCAGTGCCACTCCACTCTGATTTCCGGAAGTGTGATTTCCGCTCAGTGATCTCCATTTGAACATGTTGTGAAACGGAAATGATCTCCCGAGCTGCTAACACAAGAACCCCGGTGGGCCGGCAACTTCGCCGAATAGCGACAAGGCCCTCATGAGGGAGCTCTTGTCGAACACAACTGGAGAGGCTTCCTCTGACCCGCCTTCTTGTTGTTGAGGGCGACATGAAGTCGCTAATTAGTTGCATGATCGTCCAGTGCATATGCTCTCATGTGCAAAAGTAAGACAACATGTTGACCTGAAGCTGGAAAACCTGGTTTAGACACAAGCGAAACTAGTTGCACACCAGCTGTGCACGCAGACACCCAGGCCGTGCAGTTACTTTAACAGGTACGTTTGCACGGCATACTGGATGGGTCTTCGTTGGCCCAAGCCATCCAGCAGCCCTTGGGCCCCCTGCAGATATAACAATTCTCGCTGAAAACATCATGCACAAAAAACATGTGGAGCAAAGTTTGTCGCATGTACAGCAGAATGACACAAACAGTGGATAGCTGAGTAGGCCGAAGCCCTAAACCCCAAAACCCGCAGCGGCAAACTCGAAAGTCTAAGAACACAGACTGCAGATCAGCCAATAATGAACCCTAGATTCTTCGGAGAACACCAAACAACGCCCACGCCTGACACACGCTGCCTTGAAAGAAGACGGGCCACGTCACCTGAACATCACAGTCTGCAAACAGTGCAGTGCTAGCATCTAGCTAGTGTTGAAGCACATCTTGGCGAATGAGGCTGACCATGAGCTGTGCGGTGGCGGCAACAACACTCACAATAACAATGCTGGTTCTGGCTATCACCATGGCCATGACTACGATGATGATGGCGGTGGTGGTCCGGATGATGGTCATAACGCGACCACGATGGTGGCGACGATAAACGACGATGAGGGGGACCCGCACCAAGGCTGAATGCATCGCAGCATGCGACTTACAGCTGCAGCACATGTTTATGTTTGCATTTTGTTTGCTTCTGAATCTGACCTGTGCTCTTGCTCAAACCAGCTATGTCGATGTGTTGAGTCCTGGTTGTATTTCTCTGCATGAACGGCTGGGCACTCTTTTACCTTCCGGGACATGATCATGGAACGGGCCGACCTCAGCACCCTCACCGTCCAATCTCACACGCAAGCCTCCAAAGCCTGAGGGTTTAGGGTTTAGGGGTTTAGGGTTTGTTTTTAGGGTTTAGGGTGGACAGCAGCCAGTAGCACCAGCAATAGAGCAATGCTACGAAACCGCATAAGGAGTTGCATCCACTCGGACAGCTGCGGGCGAGCCCAGGCCAACGAAGCTCGGAACGTTAAACTCCAGCAGCAATGGGAACCCTAAACCCCAAACTACAAAACTCCAAAGCCCCAAAGCCCGGCGAATCAGGAACGGGAAAACTTGGAGAGGAAAAATACCCGTTGATTAAGGAACATACCTCAAAGTGTAAGGGGCTTCATACCACTACCATGATTGAAGCTCGATTCCTTAAGTAGGGGGTATGTGGGCCCTGTAAAGACCCTTATAGCCCTTAACGGAGCCCTTGCAAGAACCCTAACTTAAGGCTCTATTCCTCAATTAAGGAGCGTTGTCGGGTATCATGGCGAACTAAAGGTTAACCGTTTTGGTTATATAGGGGTTATATAGGGACTATACTACCCAAAAAATGTGAAAGGTTACCTACTCTACTACTAGGTTGGGCTCTCTGGGAAGGGCCGGGTCACCTTGAAGAGGCGCCGGTGTAAAGGGGACAGCCACGGGCGGCGGCCGGTGGTTCCTTCGCTGGGCAACGCGAAGCCTCGTTTAGGGTTTGGCGTTCAGGGGTTTAGGGGTTTAGGGTTCAGGGTTTAGAGTTTGCGGTTTAGGGTTGAGGGTTTGGGGTTTAGGGGTGCAGGGGTTTCGGGTTCAGGGCTTAGAGTTTGCGGTTCAGGGTTTGGGGTTCGGAGGAGCGAGAGATGGGGAAACTTTGGGTGCGGAGTTCATTTAGCGCTTAGGGTTCAGAGTTTAAGGTTTAGTGTTAATGTGTTTTTGAGGTTCAGGGCGTAGTCGCTTTGGGCTTATGCAGGGTTCAGGGAGTGCTTCGTTGTGCGCCTTGGGGGAGTGAGGGGCGACGGCTACTCACAGGCTATCTACGGTATGGAACTGCCTACAGTACATAATATAGGGGCCGAATGTGAACGAAAATCCCTTGGCTCGAAGGTTCACTCAGCCAAGACGGAAGCACGGACAACACTGGCCTAAAATTTTCAAAATGGGTTAGTCTATTCCTCGGAGATTTCAGGACGGAGCTGCAAGCTACATGAGAAAGCCACGTCTTCCCAAAGCAAAACCAAAGCATGCGCAAGTAAACTCGAAGGAAGGAAATCACGCGACCCTGGCGGGCCTCTCCCTTAGGCCTGCGATACAGATCCACTAATAAACGACAAAAACACCAAGCCAAGTCGCTGCTCAGAACCTCTGCGATCAAGACGGAAGGACCTTCGGTGTCCAAGAATATCTGACACTCCATACAACCTTGAAGCTGGGATCTACGTGTGTCTGGTGTGGAGTGCTGAGAAGTTTTGGCTCGCTCAAGCATCTGATCCTACTCCCTGGTGCTCAGTAGGGACTGGGGCATGGATATTGGGGACTATTGTTGGGCCTGGGGATTTTCCAGGGGCTACTATAACCCTAAACCCTAAGCAGGGGCCACTGTAGAGATCCATCCCCACATTCCCAACTAAGCACCAGGGAGCCTATGGCACAGAGATTATCTCTCCCTCCTCAGCGAGTCGAGTTCCGCGTAGCTAAGGAATATGCCTTACATGTACGGGGCTTCATATGATGATTTAAGCTCTATTCCTTCATCAAGGGGTATATGGGCCCTATAAACACCCTTATAAACCCTTCAAAGGAGCCCTTCAAGGAACCCCTGACTTAAGGCTCTATTCCTTCATCAAGGGGTTTGTGGGGCGTATAAGGACCCTTACAGCTTCAAGAAACCCCTAACTTGAGGCTCTTTTCCTTAGCTCTGAGTCACGGTCTGCTGCTGGCACTGCCGGGAGGTCGCCCAAGTCCGTGCGACCGCGGCGATAACCACCTAAACTTTAGGGCCTTAAAGGGTTTTAGGGTTTAGGGTTTGGGGTTTCAGGGTTTAGGGTTTTTAAGGCCTAGAGTTTCGGGTTGGGGATTTTATAGGGTTTGGAGTTTGGGGTTTCGGCTTAGGGTTTAATTTAGCTGCAAGGACCAAGAAATGCCCGAAACCCTAAAATTTGAGTCGGGGTGGGAGAGGGGGGGAGGCGCAATCAGAAGGGTTTCGGATTTGCGGCCCGGGGCTTCGGGCTTATGAAGGGAATTCCTGATTCCTGATTCCCCACAAAACGGTCCAATGAGCTTTAGGACGAAACCATGTCGCACAAATTGAAGCTTTCCCGCAAGCAGAAGAGCCAAGACACAGCCTCAAGGGATAGAGATGGTTATAGAGGCACCATAGACTTGACGTTCCAACCTCATGCCAAGACTCGCCAAAGCACAGGGAAGGCCCAGAAGAATAGCAGCCTCGTGTCAAGAATGGTACTGCCGCAATGCACGTTTGGGTCTGACGGTCCGATCTTAGATGTTCGGAGCTGCTGTCCCGCAGCCCTTGGCCACGGTGTGAAAATAGCACAAGGTCTGCAAGCGTGACAGACCGGACTGCGAGGCAGTCCAAGAGGCCAATGCATACACTAAAACACAGCGGGGCCGTCTCTAAAAGCCGAAAACACGCAACCTACAAAACCTTGAACGATGCATAAACCCCCAAAACCCGGACGCCAAAACTTTCAAAGCCCTGAACCCATAAACCCATAAACCCCTGACCCCATAATCCCCCGACGAAAAACGAATCCCAGAGCCCAGCAGAACATTCGAGTGCAACTCGACCGCTATATTATAACCCTGACAAGCACTCATCCTTTTAGTAACCCCTTTAAAGGAACCCTTTTGTACGTATTAAGCCCAAGCCCTAAACCCTAAACCCTAACCCTCCCTAGCAAATGCTACAGAAAAACCAGCTCTTCGACGATCGCTTGACTACTGCGCCTACGCGCGCTTCACATATTTTCCAGTTGTACAGAAAGACAGTCGGCAGCGCTTGGCCCTAGGGAAGAAATCGAGGCCCCGACCGGCTCAGTGGCCAGGAGGCATCCTCGGGGGAGACCTGCGCAAGGAGGCTTCTGTAAAGCAAGGTCCCGGAAAGGATATCCTTTGAAAAAATCTATAAGGGGGCCTTTGAAGGGATCCATAAGGGGTCCTGTAAGGGGACCTATAAGGCGTCCCTTAAAGGAGGTTCTTTAAAGGGAGCTATAAGTCCTTAAAGGGATCTATAACCTGTAAGGGGATCTGCAAGGAGTCCTTTAAAGGGATCTACTAGGTTACTGGGGTTCTGTTGGGTTTCTATTAGGGTTTCAAAAGATGGAGATTTCTGAAAAAGTCGGGCCCCTTAAAGGGGGTCCTCTAAAGGGATCTACAAGGGGTTCTGTGGGGTTTCTATGAGGGTCTCTATTAGGGTTTCTATAAGGGCACTATATGGAGAGTTCTCTAAGGTAAGGTCCCTTTTAAGGGTTCTAACCTAAACCTTCTAGTACATTTCTTGGCGTCCTCCTCCGGAGCTTCCTCGTCACTCAGCAAGGGCGGCTCGCGCGCCCGCCAGATGCGGAGGCAGCAACAGCGCTCCATGGGTCAGCATGCGGGAGTTGAAGGGTTAGGGTTTGGGGTTTAGGGTTTAGGGGGTTGGGGCTTCTAGGGTTTAGGATCCTAAGGCTTAACGCTAGGATGTGGGAGTTGAAGGGCTAGGGTTGCGGGCTTAGGGCTCGTGGATTCGGGCTTAAGGCTTAGGGTTTAGAGCCTAGGGCTCTCAGGGTTTACGGATGAGGGTTCAAGGCTTAGGGGAGGC